GCCTGGGCCCCAAAAGTCGGCCCTGGACATTATGTGGGCAGCAATGAAAGCCATTTTAATTGCTTCCAAATGAGTGAGGTCCACGCAATTGCACAGACAAGACATAATGCCACACAAACTCGTAAATGTGGCATCATGGTGGGCAATGGGGGGCACTGGATGTGGCTGGGACTGGCACGGGTACTGAGAGGACTGGGAGGCAAGGGTTCCTGCAAATAAAAGCCCATATCAGATCAGGGCACAACAGCCACAAATTATTCACACTGATTAGATGAAGTTTTCGCTGGGTTTTTTGGGCATTAAATAAACCATGCTGAAAAAGTAAACCGTTATAATTACAATGTATTTGATGGGTGCGGCAGGGGGGAGCCCAGAATGACAGAGACAGACAGACACACACACACAAAAACAAATTGAATGGCAGCAGCATATGGAGGGCACTAAAAACAAATTGGGGGTCCAAAATGGCGCATGGCTCAAGATAAAACGAAAATAATCAGCAAGCAGTAAGGCCGAAGGAGACACACAGACATACACACACACACAATAGAGACACTGCTAGAAATCGTTGTGTCATAAAAATAAACAACCCCATCGAGGGCAGAGCCTTCAGAGAGCCCAGGACTAGGGAAAATCCAATGTTGATATGGGATAAAGAAAGCGAAAGCGAAGGGGAAAGTTATTCGCATGCAATTTAAATAAATAAGAATGCGGCAGGATCGAAAACTCTAGCCATAATTGAAATCACTGGGAAAAACGGAGTTGCCACGGTGACACACACGCCCATGGGCTCGCCTGCGCTGCAGGGTTGCCAACGTGATTTGCATGTGGGCCAGAAGAGACCGAGACTGTATGAATAATTTATGCGCATTTAATTCGATTGTTGTGGTACAGGGACACATCCTTTCGGGGCATGGAGCATTTGGCATGCGGCATGGGGACACCACCTTAGCTGAGAGAACTGCGAGGATTACGAGGTAAACTCGTACATAATTTAATCGTAAACATGAAATAGTTTTGTCATGTTTTATATTCAACTTCAGTTGTCCCACTTCCAAGGACCAAAAACCCAGCAGACCCTTCGTGTGAGTCTCCCTTTCCCTTTCCCTCTTTCTCTCTTTCTCTCTCTCTCTATTTTATGGCATTTGGCATTTCCGTTGCGTTTCCGTCTCGCTTCGTTTGTCCTTTGTCTTGTTTTATTTGTGTCTCGCCTTTTATTGAAATTTCTGCTACCTAATTCCGCCATTCCCTGTCCTGTTTTGTTATGATTGTTATTTTGCTGCTCTTTTCGTGCAATCGGAAATAAAATAAATAATGACTGCCATTACGGTGCACGTTTTTGGGGACCCCTGGGAGTGAGCCGTGGGAGCCGAGCACTCATTCTGTGGTTAATTATTTCCAGGTTCCTTGCGACTGTATATCTGTGTAGGGGCCCAATCAGTGGCCCAAAGAAATCCATAAAATTGGTAAATGGGCCATCGTTTTGGCCAGCTACCAGATAATCTTCCGAGTCGCCGAACATAACCAGATCTAAGCTGCAATTTGCTACACCATTCTCCCAGCAAATCGTCTCTAATCAATTTCAAGCGAACACTATTCCTCAGCACAAGCCAAATTAACTCGGAGACAAACTATCCGGTAAAGCGAAACTGTCACTTTGCATCAGGGCGATGGGAAAACGGAAGGGAAAATCGCATTCCCTAAACGTATGAGAATTCACGTAGGTTTGTCAAGTCTCTCGCTGGCTCCATTAAGTGGGGTAAAAATGCAGGGAAAAAAAATCGAACGTCCTTGAGCCAAAACGGAACCCAAACTAGGGTGGGGCGGTGGTAAAGATGAGCAAAAACAATTTGCAATCAAATAAAGAACAACGGGGAGGCGATGGGCGTTGGGCGATGGGCGATGGCAACAAGAGGAAGGAGGGCGAACATAGCAAGAGAACATCGCGTGACAACACGAAGGAAAATGCGACTTGTGATGAGCATGAATCCATCTGCAGCCGGGGCAAGGATAACCGCCACAGCCGCAAGACGCAGACCGAGAGGATGACAGCAAAATGAGTAGAAAATTAACAAAACGCGAATAGACAGAATGCAGGATAGAAGGCGGAGGGGGGACTGTAAATATCCCTCAAATATGCAGCAGGATGACGATGGAGGACGAGGACTAGGACGAACCGCATCGGTGGCAACTGTGGCAACAGTGGCAGCCACGCGGTTGTCAAATGCAAATGCAAATACAAATTTTCGGTATGTACTTGATGAAGTTTTGAGCTGCAGCAGGAGCTGCAGCCACTGCAGAGGTACGGTAAGATACTTCCTTGCGACGGGAAATGGCTGGGTGCTTGGGTGCTTGGGTGGCTGGGTGGCTGGGTGACTGGGTGGGTTAGCACTCAAGTCAACTTGTTAAAAAGTTCTTTGCTACTTTGGACGGTTCGGCCAGTGCCAGTCATTTCGAATGCTTTTTTGGCCAAGCGGAACAGAATGGAGGGAGGAACCTTGTTTACCCAAGGCGGTGGCTCAGTTAGTAGGACACTGCCACTGCCAGTGCCACCCCCTTCACGTGCTGGCATTTTGTATCGATTGCCAGGAAAAGGTAAGGAAAAGGCAGCTACAGAAAAGGATAGAAAGTCGTTTCACAGAGGGCGAGTGAAAATCTTATGCAAATATTAGGTTTGCATTTTCCACTTTATATTTAACTTTCCCCACTTCACTTCCCTTGCCTTCTTGTTTTCCCTCTCTCGCTGTACACCGTCCACTCTGTGCTCTGTTCTCTGTCCGTTGTTTGCTTTGTCCGCTTGTTATTATTGTTAAGACAATAATTCAGGACGAAGTTGACGCTCAACCCAAGTTGTGGGCGTGGATTGTCACCCTCCAACGAGGATTGTAAATTAAATCAATGTATATTTTCAATGGAAATATCCACAGCCGATTCGCAGAACAGACCATCGAATTTTCCGTGGGTTATGGCCAAGCAATTTGCCTGGTCATGTTCGATCGATTGCAGAAACTCGCCCAGCACTCATATCCGTTCAATTAGCCAGCCACAGGGATAGTGTGGGAAAAATCGACAGTTTCCACCTGCCATGCACTCAAATCCATTGAAGCCTTTGAATGAGATGCCCGCCCACAACTACAACCACCATCAACCACAAAGAAAGGAACGCATCTCCCACATTCTGTTCGTTCTGTGTATAGTCCCAGGTCTAATTTACATGCCCCACCATCACCGTCCCGGTCTACGCCCACATGACAATGATGTTGTAGCTACTAGCTACACATCTCCGCCCACGCCTTCTCCATTTGCAGCGCCACAGACAGACAGGATCCAAGTTCATTCAGTTCTGTGCCATTCATTGATGGGAGGCTGCCTGTGCAGCTCGGTGGCTGGCTGGCTGGCTGGCTGGCAAATAGACCCAGCTCAGCAGAGGCTCAGGCTCATCCGTTTGTGGCAAGAGCTAGCACTCAGTGGCAGAGAAGGGATCGGACCAGAGAGCTGGATGTGGCATGCAAATGCCAGTGCAAACAAACTACGGCTGCCACCAGACAACACCAAAAGTAAACGGCAATCCAACGAGGCAGATAAATGCATCGGATCGGTCCTGTTGCCTTGTTGCCGGGCGAGGCGGAACAGGAGGAGAAGGAGGAGCAACAGCAACAGCAGCAGCCAAACTTTGTCTCTGTCTGTCCATTGAAAAAACGTGGCTGTCTGAGTTATTGTGGCTTTGGTCATTCTGCTTTATCCCCGCGCTACCAGCCAGTCACAGTACCAGCCGTTGCTGTGGCAGTGGTTGCGGCAACGTTGACAGTTTGCCATGGCAACACCAGCAGCAGCAGCAGCAGCAGCAACAAGAGCATTAACAGTGCGTTGGCCTGGACGGGACAGGATCCGCTGGTGGCTCGGTTTGTCGGCCTTTTGATGTTACCCGTCTGTCGACCTCTTCCAGCTACAAATTGCTCGTTGCACAGACAACGCCAAACAACAACGACAAGGATGACAACGTTGACAGTGTCGTCGCCTCGCTGTCTGCCCCAGACGAGTGTCGTAGTCGAGTCGAGTCGAGAGAACAAGAGAGCGGAAAACCGGGGCAAAAGCATTTAATTTCATTTTTATTCAAAGTGAAATATACAAATTAAAAATGGCATTTAATGCGCAACTTTGTCGCCTGTCATAAGCACTGCAAGCATGTGAAATGCGCAGTGCTGGGGCAAGTTGAGAGGAGAAGGAGGAGTGGAGTGGAGTGGCACTAGTAGTGACAGTGGGAGTGGCAGTGGCTGGGGCTGGGGCTGTGGGATTGGGGAGGCACTGAGAGAGACAAACAGGTGGCACTATTGCTTGGACGGACGTAGGCGGCACAAACAGGTGGCACTATTGCTTGGACGGACGTAGGCGGCAGTGGTGGCAATGTTGTGTATCTTTAATGCCAGATGCCACACGATGATGATGATGATGATGCGGTCTCCTCCTTGTGTCTGAGTGTTCGTTAAGACATTAAGTATACGCCTGAGGGTACGGTTAAAACTTTGAAGCGGCAAAAATTGTTAATAAAAGGATTACAGGATTACAGAAACGCTTCGGGAAACAAGGCAAGATGAAGCAGCATAAGAAATTGCGCATACGCCACGTTTCAGTGTATCAGGCAACTTAGATCAAAGTGCTGGCGATGGATGGGTATTTGGCCAATTAAAACTCAAGTATGTGGATAACCAAAAAACAGTTCTATAGGCGGCACGGCACTAATTGCCATCACAGCAGGGCACAAAACTGGCTACATTTCTACAGTATATTTGGACTCGCTCAAGAGTGACACAAAAAGCAATCATTATCTCTCCGTGTTTCTGTTCGTGACAGAGTGTGTGTGTGTGTGTGTATGCAAGTGTCTATGACAGAGTGTGTGTGTGTGTGTGTGGGTGCTGCTGTGTGGATGTATGTATAGGTGCATCACTTAGAGGCTATTTCTTTTAAGAGGGGGAAAAAAGTAGTAAAAAATGTGAACGCACTTGGTAGAATCTCACCTGTGCTCAGCGTATAGTCCCAGCTGGTATCGGGCTCGTTCTTATACACATTCAATTTCTCTGGCTGCAAACGGTAATAGAATATAGCCGAATATATATATATATATATAGTGGGTTATGATATCGGAGATCCAATCGATAGATCAGACTTACCTTGGCATAATCAATTTTCAAAGTGCAGCAGCCGGCATAGATATCGGCTCCATTCAGATTCTCGCGCGCCCTTGTGGCCGCATCGAGGTTGTCGAACTCCACCATGGCCTGGACTCCATTCTTTTTGAAGATGACAATGCGCAGCACTTGGCCATGTGGATGACAGATTTTGTGCAAAACATCCTGCAAGAAAATGGATTCCAGTAAGTAAGAGTAATCGCTAGATTTAAGCTCCAAATTGAAATTTAAAATTTAAATTGTCAGCAGTCTTGGTGGCAAGGTCACAGGCGTGCTGCAAGTAAATACCATCTGTGCATATTGTCACAATGGTGATAGTGTAGGGTGACGGCTTGTTTGGTTCTGACCAAATTGAAACGAATGACATTCCATGTGTCCTTTCATTTTGCATTATTCTTTGTTCTTTCATACGCCACACAGGACTGTTGACTGGACTGTTCCCAGAGCAACTCCATTTCCATTTGTGTTTTTTGTCTGAAATAATTGGAATTTCTCATTTGGCTGCCCCTTCCCCACAATCCAAAGAAGGCGGAGTGAGTTTCTTACAGGACAGCTTCGTGAGGCTCAAGAACTCATTAGCATAATTTAATAAGCACTTGCCTCAGCTCGCCTATGCCAAAGAAATTTCCCAATTAACATTCATAAATTTTCGAAAATTACGTTAATGAGTTTTGAGTGTGCAGACGGGGGCGCCGCGGCCAAAGCCAAGAGGCGTGCCAGGTCTAGGCCAACAAGAATGGGGAAGAAAAATAAAGAATTTGCTCGTCTGGGCTCAGAGCATGAACCAGCTCTCAGAATTGATGGCAAATTATAATGAGCATTGGTCGTTGCCATGGAAATTTATGGAAAATTTAAGCTGCCAAATTTTCCCTTTTCTCCGCACACAATCTCCCTTACACTCATACACTGTCGCTCTATCTCTGAGTTCCGTTTATTTATTTCACTGGCAAAATAGTCGAGAAATTCGATGGAGGAAGGCTTTTTGGGGGCTCTTCTTTGAGGGGCGCTTGTCATGTTGTAATGGGTTAAAATGTTCAATTTGTTCAACTCCGCTCCACACCCCACCACACCACTTCGCCATCTCAAGCTCATTTCTATGAGCTTAGAGGAAGGAGCCAGTGCCTAAGCGGCTTTTGTCTCTCTGGCAGTATTTTGTTATTCATGAAATTCATCGATAAGTCCTATAAGCATGCTGAAAACTTTTCACATTGATTTGCATTATACACAGCAATACAATATTCAGGGGTAGCAACTTCATCAGGCCAAATACCAGAGGCCGATGGATGGCGATGGGTGAACTTTTAGCCTATGCAAATTTCACAATTCCCCCAAAATGATTGGACGAAAGCCAACAAGGGCTATTTGGGATAGATCAAACGGTTCCTTAAGCAGTACCTACATACTTCTATATGAAATTGGCTCCTTCGGACTGTTATTCTATGAGCAGGAGTTGGAGATGTAAACCATGTATTGCATACGAGTGAGTATTAGCCTTCACTGCCGCTGACACAGTTACGAGTTCTCCTCGTTTTTCTCGTTTTTCCAGCTGTAGGGGTGGAGGAACTGTTATATGAATCATTTTCTCACTTTTCCGCTCCATCGCCCTCACACTCTGTGCTCCGCTCCATGATTGTGGATGTCTGTGTTGTGTGTGTGTGTGTACTATTACTTAATTATTAATGCAGCTGCTTTCTTTTTTTCTTCCACTATATTCCCCTCGCGCTCTGCACACACTTAACACTTCCCGAACAGCCCAGCCACTCCCCACTCACCCGCCACCCGCCACCCGCTCGACGATTCTGCCACTGCCTCTATCAACCGCAAAAGTTTTCTAATTAGTTTTTGTGTGCACACTGCGCTTTATAGTGGGGATAGTGCGCCATTCTACTGCATAGAAATGCTGGCCAGAGAGCGGAAAGTGGAGTGCAAGTTGCAGAAGGAAGTGGAAGTGTGCGAAAGAGAATGATAGTGAAGGCAGTGAGACAGTGAGACAAGGGGGGGTCAGAAAAAAATACGTTTTCTCGCTCATTTTCATCTGCAACGACATTTTACAATTCGTTTTTGAAGCTGCATTTAATGCGATTTGCACAGGGTCCTAAAGCAGGACAAGGACAGGACAGGAAAGGACAGGCATAGTTGAACATAGAGGCAGAGTGAAATAGAGAGAGAGAGAGAGAGAGAGAGAGAGAAGCAAAGTTAGAGAAAGAAGGAGCACAAAATGTCTGCAATTATTGTAAATAGCGTAATCATCGAGCAAGTCAAAAGCGTCGCCAGCCAGCCAGCCAGAGTGCACAAAAAAGGGTGGGTGGGGACCTGGAAAAATTACTCTTGTTTATGAGGGCAGCTTATTGAATAAATGAGGCGCGTGCCCTCTGATGGCAGCACAGAGAGACACCAGGACTTTGCCTTGGCCCTCTCCTCGAACCCAACGAAAGGCAAGGGATACGGATAGTCGACTCTGTTCAGTCATTGTTGGCTGGTAATTCGAGCCCATTAGGCGAATGGTATTGGGATTGGCAGTCAAGACAGAGAAACAGAAATAGAGAGAGCGCGAGCTCAAGGGTGAGGGTGAGTTTGGAGGGATCCCTGAATGATTATGTGCGAAATGGAGCTGATTAGACAAACTCTAGGGGGAAACGGAAGTGCCAAGAGGCTCTCCAGAGTATTCCATAATAAAGTACAGTTGCGTTCGAGTCACTCCACATTCCTTGAACTGATTGAGGACTTTGCTTTGATGCTTTACCCGACAGAATTGCGCCATAAAATTTTTAAAATCCCAAATAAGTTTGAGAGAAGCGCTTAAATCCTTCACACGAGGGAGCGCAGGGGCTGGCCGGGCTGCATATCAAAAAGTTCAGCATTTCACGAGCTGTGGAAATTAAAAAACTAATCCACAAGAAGGCGAGAAATAAAAGGCTGCCAGAGAGAGAGAGAGAGAGAGTAAGAGGAGAAACAAATAAACCGCATCCAAAATGAAAGTATTAATAAAACAGCAGAGTGGGTGGTTTTCACGGGCTGTGGGTGGTGCGGTGGCGGGTACTATTGGGTGCTGCACTTTTTGTGGCATGAAACAGTTATTTAAAATATAAGAGCCGTGCTTTCCAAGTGATACATATCGTACGAGCTACGTGGCATTTTATGAGGCACTATAACTTGCTCGGACTGGCCGCGGGACACACCACACTCCACCCCCAAAGAATGCTGCGAAAAAGGACAAGCGGGTTGGGGGGGTAAAAAAATAAATTAATATTTTATCTAGAGCAGAGATTCGCATGCATGCGACCCCGCCCCGCAGTCGCCCATCCCACTATGTGCCGCACAACCGCCCGCCATGCATTTTGTTTTGCCATTTTATGGCCATCATCAAAAGCGCATTAAAATTTTACTAAGGCGTCATGCCAGAGGGGATACTGGCTCTGGCTGTTGCCCAGAGGGTGGGGAGTGTCCAGGCGTGCTAAATATTAAATCAGCGAAATGCCATCAGCAGCAGCAGCAGCAGCAACAACAACAACAACAACAGCAGCTGCCGAGGCTGGAATGAAAGCAAAGGCAAACATCTCCACTGCATCTCCGTGTGGCAGGAAAATATTTTAAGCGGCTTTCCCCAGGTCCATCAACGGACCAGCTCCCACATCATTCGTCCGCATAAAGGGAACAATGGGGCATGGCAAGAGTCCCGCAAAGCGCATTAAATATTAATAATATTGTGTACTCGGTGGCGTTATCAACAATTTTGTGGTCAAGCATTGTTTTGTGATTTCAGTTTCTACACACACATTTATGGGGCTGACAAGCTCTCCAGTGAACTGGAATGGCAAAGCCATGGCTTTAAGCTGCTGAACCTTTCGAAGCTGTAGAAATATTCTCAAATGTAAGTGAATTAAGTAGATAGCTTTGAGCGACAGCAGCTAGTGTGTGGCGGTATTACCGCAAATAAATTATTAGAATACCCAAAAGGTTGATTGGTCTCGTGGTTTTTGTCAGAAACTACATCCGAGGCTTACAAAGTCTGCTACAGAGCACGGGAATCGAATCCCTGTGCAAAAACTATATATTGACACAATGAAAGCATTAGACAGAAGGCAAAAGCTTACCGCTGAAACGCTTATATCAGGCAGAGCCAAGTGCATGCAATCAAATCAAATTCATGTTTGTGGCTGCACAGCCACAATTCCTCATGGATACTCTTGGCCTTTTTCAGCAGCTGCAATTTCCATTGTGCCCAGAAGTTCGATTGATTGTCATGGTTTTTGGTCGAAGTGAGGAGAAGTCATTGAACCGACCGCAAATCGAGAAGGAAACAAACCGAGAGAGGAGTTCATTCCCCCGCCAGCAGCAGCAGCAGTTCCCTGTTTTGGTCTCGTTCTTCGCATAAAAAAGAAAAAAATACTCAACAAGTTTTTTAGCATTTGAATTTCTTATTGACCCATTTCTTCGGGGCAACACCAAAAGCACAAGCCCAAACACAGCCCCGAACCCGAAACCGAACACAAGTTGGAGCCCCAATCCGAGCAAAGCCCATTCAAACCCGTTTCAAGTCATTTTCAACACTTTCGGGGGCTGCAGCTGCCAGGGGAAGGTCGCTCAGGCCAGAGAGAAAGAGCAGGGTTATAAGAGAGAGAGAGAGAGAGAGAACCCAGTGAGTAACTGCATTTTGGCATGGCTCTCACCATGTGCCGTTAGTTGTTGGCCAAAAGCAAGACATAGAGGGAGGGGCAGCAGCAGAATAAGCATCGCGGCCCTTGAGTGCAAAAGTAAATTTCAACAACTGGAAAGACGGGTTTTTATCCTCGTTTATTTTCCCCCTTTGGAAGGCACACGACTTTGTGGATTTGTTAGAGCCGAAAGTGAAGCCCAGCTAAAGAGATTTTAATCCTCGCGAAAGCAAAAACAAAAACAAAAAAGTTCCAACTTAAATCAGCAGTTTGCTGGCTTTTATTCTGGCTGGCATTGATTTAATTTATTCGTTGGCAAATATTTGTTGCCATTGATTGGGCGATCACTGTGCAAGCGCAAACGAAATTAACACATTCGCAGTCGCCATAAATCAACACAAGTGCTATAATTTTAATAGGTCCGTAAATATAACATAAATACATTAAATTTCATGCTGTAAGCGATCGCCCAGAGCTGGGCATGCCACCTCCGCGTGCCACAGCAAACAA